CTTTCAGATCTATGCTGCCACGATGATGTGTTTAGTTGCTAGGTAGAACACAAGTCTTTTTGTTTAGTTAGCATGAACTCATCTAAAATTTTACGGTCAAACATTCGTATATATATTATTTGTTCTTCCAGTTAAATAAACAAACGTCGTCACAGTTTGTGACTGATGGGTTTGTTGTAAATAGGGTAGGACTGATGGACAGAGAGGAGAAGTTTGGCTCTGGGGTGAAGGAGTGGGTGGAGACGAGTGACAGAAGGAAGCTGCTGGTGCGAGACAAGGCAAGGAGTCGGAGGACAATCAAACCGTCTGAGAGACAGATGACTGAACGAGAGTCGACAGAAATCAAATACCTGAGATTTTCATTTACCCACTGACCAGGAAGGACAGGGTTAGAGAGGGAAGAAGACCGAGCTGCCAGGCTGAGAGAAGACAACGACTGATACAGTGAAGACGGAGAAGACGGAGATGGATAGAGATGTACTAGTGGGAAAAGATATTGTGGTGATTATATATATATATAAATATGATTTTGGCTGTGGTGACATCAACGTTTCAAATGAATTGTACCACAGTCTCTTGTATTCGTTATGTGCAGTCCTCAAAGAGGCATTTCTTAGTTGCAGGAATATATTTATGACTCAAAAACCTCCATGTATCCACTTCCTGGATTCAAGGAGCAGGAACAGGAGCACAGAGGAGCAAAACACTGAGCATAAATACAAGGAATGGACAGAACAGGAACAGGAACGAACAGTCACATACACTGAATCTACAAAGACTACAGGGATGGAGAGAGGTGTATGACCACCAGGTGACACCAGTGAGACTAATGACAAAGACACAGGTGAGTGTGATGACACTGATGGACTCAGACACAGCAGGAGGACGGGGAGACAGACAGACCTCACACTGTGAAAGAAAAAAACCTCGGTGAACTCTAAGGTTTCAGTTGTAACTTCTGTAAAGTGACTTAAACGTATGACCTCTCACCTATTTTACATTATTATTATATTACAATACGTTTAGCAGACGCTTTTATCCAAAGAGACTTAGAAATTGAGTCAGACAATGGACAATGAAGCTACGGTAAACATAAAAAATACAAAAATACATAAATAATAAATAGAAAAAAGTACAGTTAGGGTCGTAGTAGGTCATGGAGTAAGAAGAATAGTATGTTATATACCTTTTATTTATACTTTTGCACTGGTAATACTAGTATTTCAGGAGATATTCAGTATCATATCATATTTTAGTCGTATGTGTCGGGATGTTAACAGATTCTTCTTTTTTTCAGTTTTAATTTTGTCCAAATCAATCAATGAGTGATATCAATAATGGAATCGGAATAGGTTAAAAAAAAGGTGTGATTTTGTCACAGTGTCAGACGGACACATTTATCATCGTCATCAGTTTGTGCCACTTGGACAAAAAGATTCTGTCCTCCTGCTCCGTGCTGAGCTCCGTCCGCTACCGTAACCCTCTGTTTGACCACAGCACCTCTGTAAATATTACGCAGTCAGAAGGATCACGGCAGTAGCTGGTTTTCAACCAAGGGGCACTTTTTGTGTCAGTGCGAGCGATCACCTGCCTCGGTGCTGTGATATTAATCGCCAACTGATGTAATTTAACTTCTCCTGGAGCTGTTAAAGCTTTCAGTTGCTAGGCGATCCCGAGGTAGCAGAGTGCCGCTTAAAGAGACGGCAGCTTTCAGCCAGAGGCTCCGTTCAAACTGGTCCTTTCAGTCGGCTTTCCTGTGTTCTACACCGTCGGGTGAAATTGACTGTGGTGTCTCACGGATGAACTGTGCACGATCAATGAAGCTTCAGTCTGATAAAAGGTCAAAAGTTCAGTTTAAAAAAAACAAACCATAATAACCATGGAGAGGAAATCTGAATAGGAAAAAAAAAGAAACGCAGTAAAAGTCCAAGCAGCGGAAACACAGTTTGGTAGGAGGATATAATAAATGCAGAAAATACACACAAAACAAAGAAACACTACAGAGCAATGTGCCAAGGCGACCATCAGAGGCGCCATCCTGCATCCTGAACTTTAGTGGAAAACCAACCATCAACCAACCAACCATTAACCAACCAACCAACCATCAACCAACCAACCAAGCATGAACCAACCAACCAACCAACCTTCAACCAACCAGCCAACCAACCTTCAACCAACCTACCATCAGAGGCGCCATCCTGCATCCTGAACTTCAGTGGAAAACCTAATCATAGAATTTTTAAATGACACCATCAACCAACCATCAACCAACCATCAACCAAACATCAACCAACCAACCAACCAACATCAACCAACCAATCATCAACCAACCAACCATCAACCAACCAACCAACCAACCATCAACCAACATCAACCAACCAACCAACCAAGCAGTAACTTGTTTCTGTGCGACTACAAATACACTTTCCAATGGACCGGAGAGAAAAAAAAAGAGACAAGAGTGTAATATCACTCCTTCTAAAACGTCCCCGCAGGACATGCTGAGGAACGAATCTATTTTCAGCCGTACAGACGCTGTGATGATTCCATTATTTTAGAGCCAAACTTTGTGAGTGATTGTGTGACGGGGCAGACAAGGACAGAGACGTTTCGATCCGACGCTCACGTCGGACTACTGGTTTTTGATACTCCTGGTATCATTTGTCTCTCCAGGTTACATGATGACGTCAACATTGACCGTTTTTTTTTTTGTCTTGTGGTCATTAACTGAACAATGCATTTTTACAAATGTTTTTATGGTCATTTAGACCCACGTTAATGACCTGTTTAGTTTAGTCTTAGAAACAAAGGATTGTTTACGTCAATGACATGAAAACTGCTGCGCTAAACTGCAAGTCAAACAAAAAATGTTAAGCTTATAGATATGCTGTGTTTTTTATGTCATCGTTCAATGTCTCTAAATGTCACCAACACTGATGTCACTCAGTAACCACTGTAATTAAAGAACGCCATGGTTGGGTAATAATGATGGTTTAGTAAAGGCGATGCCTGGAACACTCGGTTCACACCAGTCTGGCTTTTAATTATCTTTCCTTTTTACCCGCCGCTCCTCTGTCAGATGGATTTTTTGGCTTGATATTTTTAGTCCTGACCTTTTTCTCTGCTATTTAATGATGAAACTGCACGCTCTCACTTCCACTTGTTCAGAGTGAGGTGCAGACCTGAGGCCACACCTTTCGAACACCGGGTGTCACCGTCAGCTGCTTTTCACTTGCACCAACACAACACCGCGGGCTGTAGCTCTGTGTGAGGGGAGCGTTAGGGGTAATGATGCAAGTGGGTGGAGGGGTTAAAGGAGTAATGGTGTTCTCACTGGAGATGTGTGCCAACATTTATCACCAGAAGAAAAGAAAAAAAACACCAGCCTGCAGCTCTGTGTCAGCTGTAGATGTTGGAAGTTCAACCTCAACGGGGACGGCCGTTAGAGGGTCTACCACCAACGTTCTACAGATGCTAGCTTTACTGCACGTCTGTTACATGTCACAACAGCTACGGTAGGATTTGTTTTGGTGAATTAAACTTTAATAAGGTATACAGCAGGACGGTTTATAGCACATTAAAGCCCACGGCTTCATCCCACTCACCACATTATGTCAGATAGTAAAAATCTGCAGACGGAGAAGATAAACCTGTGGCAGATGAAGAACCAAGAAGAGACGAAGTTCATAAATCAACAAAGCGGTGAAGAGCAGCGAGGGGTGGCGGGGCGGGGGAGGGGGGGGTGTGTGTAGAGGGGATGTCAATAAAAGCATCGACAGAGACAGAGATTAAAGCTACGACATAGAGACAGTATTTTGTGGGGGTGGGGGGGGGGTTATCATTGTCTTGCTGCGACATTTCCCAGTAATTTAATTTTACATTAAGACAAGGGCAAGAAGGAAACGGTCTGGTTAGAACAGCCAGAAAATTGCAACAGGTTGAAGGAAAAACAACGATGATACTGTTTTATAACGGCAAGATAAAAAAAAAGAAAAGAAAAGTGTTCTTAAAACTCTGCACAGACGCTCAGAACCATTTCAGGCTGACAGATGTTGCTCAAATTTCTGCAATAATAGACACTTATTATATTAATAGCTGATGCGTTAACTGTAAGAAATTGTCGCAGATCAAAGTGACTAACTACGAAGTCATTAGGAGGTTAAAAAAAAACTCACTTTTTTTGAATAAATTGTTGTTAATTTACTCCTGACGGATTTAAAAATGACTTGCCCTAAACCTCAGCTGACCATTACTGCTGTAGTAGCAAACGTGTTTATTGACATATTGACAGTATTTGATCAATGGTGAATGAATTGCTGCACTACCATGTGTTGACCACCACAATATATTTTTACTGACATTTTGACCACTTGCAAAAACAAAAAAAAGAAAAAAGGGGTGGGGGCTGGGATGAAGAAAGCCGGCTGGGTAGCTGCAGGCAAACCCACCACCATACACTTCTAGTGGTGCAAATAAATAAACAGGTGAGATAACCAGCATTATCCCAAGTTTGTTTTAAACACTTTGTGTTTTAAACCAACATTAAAGAGCAAAAACTTGACCCTCTTTATCAGTTATTAATGCAAAGCGTGAAACTGAATGACAGGACGAGTCACTTTTGGTTTTATTTACAGTATCAATAATTGGAAATATGTAAATATTGATAAATTAACTTTCTTTTTTTTTTTTTTGTTTTTGTTTGTTTTTTTAATGTAAGCCCAGAGTGGGGGAAAACGCGGTGGGCGTCACAAACAATTCCAGCAGGTGCATTCATTCATGCAGCACCAGTTCGGTCAACTCGCATTGTCAAACGGGAAAAAAGGGGCAGAAAAAAAAAAATGCAGTCAACCGTCAACCTGTGGGCCTCCACAGTGAATTTGTGACAGTGGGGAAGAGTCTCAGTGCAACACGTCGTGACTTACAGTCGAAATATTGTCAGGAAAAATTAAATTAATAAAGACAAAAATAATGAAACCAAAAAAAAAGAAGCAGGAACCTACCTCTCTTTTGACGGTCCATAATAATTTCTCCTTGTACTCTTCCGCCGTGGAGCCCTCCATGTCCAGTCCACCTGCGGTCAGTGTGCAGTAGCTGGGCTCTGCCTGGCACTCCGCTCTGCCTCCTCTCCTCCTTCTTCTTCTCCTCCTCGCCTCCTTCTCGCCGCTCGACTCGACTGTGACGCAGCCCAGCGCCGAGGCCATACGTCACAGGACGGACCCGCCTCCCTCTCAATACTGATCAAGTAAGGAAGGGGGATAGGGGGGGCAAAAACCGTGGAGCTCTCCACGGCATCCAGCCCCGCCCGAGCCTGCAACCCACACAGCAGCAGCATCCAACGCACCGAGCAACCGACCAGCCCGCCAACCAACCTGTGGAGCCGTGCAGGTTATTTTTAGCATCCTTTGTTTCCCTCGCCGAGAGAGATAGATAGAGAGACCCTGAAACGTAGAGAGAGAGGGGGAGGGAGAGAGCTCTTCACTGCAGACAAGCAGGATTTACGTCACTCATCCGTAGCTGCTGCACGTCGTATGTCCATCGAAATGCATGGTCTTTATTGAGACACACCGTTTACTACATCGGCAGTATCTGTCACGCGCACACGCACAAACGCAGCTGCTTAAAAAAAAAAAAAAAGAAAATCATAAAATGACGTCACGGCAACGTGAACCAGAAGTCACCTGCAATTGTGTAGGGCCACTGACGTTGGTTAAACGGTCTCTCTTGTGCCCCCGTGTGGACACGCCCGTGCAAAGATTCGGTATGCACGAGTGTCCATTTATAAAATAATCATCAGAAAATCTGTTATTATTTGTAGTTTATGATTAGAAATTTCATGAATATTAAACAACGACAATCTTACCTGTATATTGTATGAGAGAGTGTCCATTTATAAAATAATCATCAGTTCAAATCAGTTATTATTTGTAGTTTATGTTTAGAAATTTCATGAATATTAAACCATGATAATCTTACCTGTATATTGTATGAGAAAAGGCCTAAATAATTTGTAATCATGCACAAGGATATTTAAAAATTTTGAAACATTTGAAAATTCTACTACCTTTTAATAATAACATCGATAGTGTTAATATTATGTATAATATTTATATTTTTTATCAGTAAATAACATGCATGTTTTTGGAAGTAAACAAACCATCTATAAAAATCCAATGCACAAACAGCACAAAAGGGATCAAACCCTGGACTTACCACTCCTCAACTGTCCCATTAAAGAATTATATATCACTTAAATTGACAAAACGTTCTCTTGTTTAATTCAGCATAAAATCATGGGTCATGATTATATTCGTTCGTCTTTATTCTAAGTGACTCGACCACATTTGCACACACTGATGAGGTCGTTTTTACCAGAAGGCCGTGTGCTGGCCCTGAAGAGACGAGTGTCAGCGGGGACAGACTCTGCCTCAGGTATACAACATTTACTGCCTCATTCATCTGTAATTAACAGATTGACAGACAACCTGCATCATGAAGGCATTCTGTCTGTCAATGCAACCTCTGAAGGCAGAGAGGTTGTTGAAAAGTAAAAAAAAAAAGGTAACATTTGATTTTGCCCCATAAGGAAACCCAACGTGTTAGCTTTAACTAATCTACAATAAAAAAATGTAAAAATATTTTTATTAATTATTCTAGTGTTAACTTGAAATCCTACATTGTGAGTATAGCTTCTCGGTTCTACCTAAATGTTCTACATGTTTGCTTCTATATGCAAAGCCAAATAAAATCTGCTTCCTACTAATGGATTCCAAACTGCAGTGACAACAACAATTTCAAATATACTGATGCATTTCTGTGAAAAATTAAAAAAGGACCAGTCTGTGAAACATTTATTTTAGTATATTTATACTACAGTGGACAAAAAAAAAATCAAAAGAATGGTCTGTGTCTCTCTGTGCAGCGTAGGATGAGATCAAGGACGTCCACCTGACCTCGTCGTCGTTACTGTGTGTTGATTGGTTAAGGCTAAAAATGTTGTATTATGACGCAGGGGTTATAACGAGAGATAGTTGTTAAATAGAGAAGAAAAAAAAATACTTTTGATATACTGAAATGCAACATATTCCTTTAAAATCTTAGTGCCATTTCAATAGATTCAATAGATTACTATTCTATAAAATACAATTTATGAAAACGATTTTTTAATTAAATACTGATAATATTCAAGCTTTTTAATGTATATATATATATATATATATGTGTGTGTGTATGTTTTTAGTTCATGTATGACAGTCAACTGAATATACACTGTATGTGGTTAATGGATAATCATTGTTATCATTTGATGAACATTTTTTATAAAATAATTCATAGTTGAAAATATTCACGTGTCCCTGGTGCCTGTAACTCTGTGGAATCATGTTAAATAAACTGATATGACGGACAATCTACTGGTGATTGAATTGTGCACAATGAAATAAAAAAAAAATCACATCATCAAATCATAATGATAGTAGTGGTAACGGCACAAAGGTATAAAAGTCAAACAGACACTTGTTATAATAATACTCAAGGTTTTTGTGAAATCCAAAAACCCGACCTGGCAGTTCAGCTTTTTCAGTCTCAGTGTCCCAGCTGCCGGTCATCGTATGTACTGTACCTCTTGACGTGAATTCGACGGACACGCTCACGGAGCTCGGCTCCTCCGGGCCCCTCCTCCTCCTCGCTGAGGGAGCCACAGTTGTTATAGCTGCGGCGAGTGGCCTCCAGCAGGGCCTTGTCGGGCGGCGGCATCGTCTCGTACAGCAGCGTGTTCAGAGTCTCTTCGTAGATTCGAGCTTCAGGAAACTCCACCTGAGGCACACGGATACCGTACATGTCATGACTGTTTTATGATAAATAAATGAATGAATTAATGAATTTCTGTATTGAGCAGAACTGCCAACCGATATTATTGGCCCAATACTAGCATCATTATTTAATATCTATAAGAATCGTTATAGGTTTTTCAGAGAAAACCTGATAACGCAATGCCTAAATTTGGCCAAATGATGTGTGCTGTTTTATGATAAATAAATGAATGAATTAATGAATTTCTGTATTGAGCAGAACTGCCAACCGATATTATTGGCCCAATACTAGCATCATTATTTAATATCTATAAGAATCGTTATAGGTTTTTCAGAGAAAACCTGATAAGGCAATGCCTAAATTTGGCCAAATGATGTGTGCGCTAAAAATACTTTTGGGGATAAACGGCTGTATATTAAAGTGAAGGTCACTAGATGGCACCATTGCCGCTCATTTTATTAATCTTATAGTCATACAGTGGTTTGTACAGATAAATAAATAAATATTACCAATCAGACATCGGACATCCCTAATGGTAATGTATGGTAAAGATTTAATTGGATTTAATGAGCGTGACTCATTAGAAGGTTTAAAAACCACATTAAACAGGAGATAATAATGTGTTTTTGAGACAAATGTATGGTAAAGATTTAATTGGATTTCATGAGCGTGACTCGTTAGGAGGTTTTAAAACCACATTAAACAGGAGATATTACACGGACGGTGTAATAAGACCAGCTGTGATAAATCTTCATGCGCATCTTAATAACTTTTTAAACATTTAGTTGTGTCTCTGGACAATTTATTTTGGATATATTTTCCATTGAACTTGCAGGTTTCTCATATATTTATGCCATTTTCCTGCATTACAATTTCTGCTTCACACCTTAGTTTGTTTCTTCTCTGTGGCGTAGAAGATGGAGGTGCAGCACACCTCGGCCAGTTTACGTCCCTGTCCGTAGAAGGACCAGCAGCAGATCTCGTCTCCTATCACGTCTCTGATGAAGAGGACGCGGCCGTTGAAGCTGAGTGACAGCCTGTCGAACAGCTCGATGTTCTTCAGCAGGTTGTCGTCTGAGTTACTGCAGACACAAGGGGTGAATTAATGAAAGAGACAACCGTCGTTGCTTACTGCACTCTGCTGGCCTGTCTTTGTATTGATGGCTGATGGAAACTGTGGCTCTCTCACCTGGTGTAGGAGTATTTGTTGTTGCTCCTGTTGTACAACAGCTTCACCCCTGGCTAACAGAGAAGAAACACGATTCAGGATTTCAGTTAGTTACGGATTTCAGATGTAATATCTAACTGAGACTAATAACTAAATATGACATAAATTCATCTGTAATAAATGAAACACAAATCAATGACAGTTAATGAGGTCAGAGGCTATTTTTGACTCAATATATAACATTGATTACACATTTACTAATCAATGTACAGTATGGTCTCCAATATTAATGTAGCTTTTCTTCAATGGAGCATGATCAAATATGTAAATTATAATGATATTCAGAGTAAAAAATATGGTAATGGAAAACTTATTGGCAAATATGGCTAATCGATTTAAACATGAAAAACGTGAAAAACCACATGTTAAAAATGTTTAAAGAAACGACCTGATGTTTATAAGAATACATAGAATAAATAGGTTTTATATTTTGGGTTTTACTGATTTAGGATTTGTCTGTATTTACCTTCTTTGAAGACTGAATAAGCTTGTCTTCTTCCTTTCTGGAGGTGACCACTGGTATGACACACAGAGGCTGCTCATTATTGTCCTGTCAAAGAGACCAGCAAATTGATGGTTAAATATTTCCATTTTAAATACATATTAAAATATATTTTTTAAATTTAACACCCCACCCAAGAAACTGACCTGCAGGGTGTTCTGACAGAGCTCCACCAGGCCTTCAATGAGGTAATACTTGGCTTCAAAGAGCAGCTCCTTGACCGCCTGGGAGCCTTTAGGTAAGATGACAGTGCCGTCACGTAGGTAGGAGAGGATGCTACCAAAGTGCTTTCCACTGCGATCAATCAGGATCCAACCTGAACACAGAAATGACGTTGTTAAAAATGTGAATTTTGTTTTTGTTTTGCCACTACATGTACAGGTTAGTTTCAGCAAAATGAGTTCCCAAATGGCTCACCTTGTTTATCCGTGAACACTTCCTTCTTTCCACTGAACATGGCTTTTAGAACAGAGTCCTGGCTGGTCAGAATTTGCAGTGTGGTGTAAAACAGGGTCCCGCCAACATTGATCTGGACATACTTGTTGACTGCTCCTTTATGACAGCAGGTCCTGGTCTTGGGACAGACTACAGGAGTGGCAGTGCAGATGGACTGGGTGTGGTGGAGGGGCAGGCAGCTGTCTCCAGACATGTCCTTTTGGAGGAAGATGACCACCCTACAGACGGAGGTGCGAAGGTCCCCCGCCGTGGTGACAGCTACTGATGAGGCCACAACTTGTCACTGCTGCCGATCATTCCCGACAACATTTACCAGCCTGAAATGGAGCAGGGGATTTTCCTTATTTTTTTAATTCACTGGATTTAAACTAGTGATATGATGAATATGCAGTGTATGATGGTTACAGACTACAGTTATAACATTATTTGTATAAAAAGTATAGCTTTATGATCTTTATGAAAAGTAAAGATTGCTGCAGTTATGGAAAAAATATGTTAAATGCTTCCAGATACTGGCAAAAAACAATTTTAAGCAAAAATTAAGTCTAGAAAGTTGAAGAAATAACAGTTTTGACATACAGTATAGTACAGTACAGTATAGTACATTTCCTGCAAACAGTAGAACAAAATAAAACACAAGACACAACGTAGCATACTTGTTAAAAAATAAAAACAGTTAGCTAATCACACCAAGACCGTGTATACAAATCCAAAGGCAGATTCCGGTATCGTTCATATAGCACTGAAGTACTCCTTCACTTCACTTAAACGCTAATGTTTAAAAAATACATGTGCTACACTATAAACAAAGCAACTAATGCTACGTTACTATGTTTCCTTGATACATCATTAAAACACGCTAAACATTGTACGTGACTTTAAAACACATATTCAAAACGTTTAGCAAACATGTTGTGCCTGCAATTTAGCTACACTCTTGTTTTGCTAATGTTTTAGTTTTGTGATATAAATGAGTTTTTATTTAGCCAAATGAGTCAATAGAAAACATATGTGCGATGTCTTGCAACGAATCTGAACTAAATGAGGAGTTTGTTTAAAACATTAAGGCGATTTTTACCGAAAGAGACTTAACTTTACAAAGGTATATCAGTTTCGTATCCTTATAATTCTCGCTTTGTTTCAATACTGACCTCTAACAATTGTCTTCCTTTTCACAACCCACGCTTCTTTTATCCTTAGAGAATGGGTGCCAGCTGGTTACTAAAAAGGAGAAATGATAATATTTCAAAAACTGTAAGAAAGCTTGGTAAAAGTTTTAGCCTCTTTCTTCTTCTCCTTTTACAACTACTCGACATAGAGCACACTGCTGCCACCTCTGGTAGTCAAGCGCGGTGTATGAGGAATGTGCTAGGTTAGACAAGAAGACCGCTTTATGGATTTGGCTTTATATTTTAGCGATAGTTTTTTTGTTTGCTTTCAAAAATCTATGAAACCAGAACTGTCTCTATTTCGTTTTAAGTAAGTGTTTCACCCTTCACTGTAATGAAGCTAAATAATAAATAAAATAAATGTTTGTATAAATCGATTGTTGATGCTGTGCACACTCTTATCAATAGATGGCAGTCGTGCACTCATAGCTATATTTGCTAAACGCTGTTTATAGAAATAGAAGAAGAGAGAAGCTCTGATGTTGTAGTTACAGTTCCCTCTGTGCCACATAGTCACACAAAACACAGGCGCTTGGAGCTGTTTATTCAGGTAATATAATTATTTGTCCGTTGTTAAACTATCTGATGAAGGTTAGCTTAGCACCGGCGATGTGTGCGTGTAATAGCTTTAGTGGCTTTAGTGACCATTGTTGTAGAAATTAATTATTTCAAAATGAGAAAATTAAATTACCAGTGAAATGTAATGTAAGTGTGTAGGTCTCACATCGTGGAAATAAACGCTATTTTTGGAAAGTCACTTACACGGTGTTTATATTTGTTTTTCATACGAGTAGAGGAAAACTCAAAAAACAGAATGCTCTGTTCTCTTGTGTTTCCCTTGTGTTCGAGGCTAATGCTAACGTGTACGAGATAACAGTGGTTCGTCTTACCATATGTTGAATCTTCATTGAAGGGCAAAGTTTAGCGAAGTGTTAACAGACATGTCCTGTCTGTGCTAACGATGTTATTAAACCTGTATACCACTGTCATACGGTTAACAGATAATATTCATCTGTATGTGAGCCTATAGCTCCGCCAACCATTTACTGCATATCGTAAAATAGGCACAAAGCGTAGTGTCGTTTTTTACATTTAGTTGAAACACTTGAACATTTAACTCAATACAAATATATTGAGTTGTGACTCAAGACAGGAGGTTGAGGATGTTGGGTCAAATATCGTCTGTTTTAACATCTAGGTTTCAGATATAAAATGTAAATACTTATACTCTGAGTGTATTCTGCTTGTAAATAAATATTCTTTGTTTAAACCTGTGCAACTGCATTCTATATGCTGCTGGCTGTTAGCCAGGACTACCTTGATGAAAAAAATATATTCTTTTTTTAAGAAAAGCCTAAAGAAAAGCTTGTAGCAACAGCAAACTTGTCTCTAAGATTTCTGGAGATCTGTGTATTTGTCTCACTCTTTGTTTTTCTATAATATGACAGGGGCCTATGGCCATGGCTAAAGACCCATTATCGGAGGCGGGCTTTTATTTTGATGAACTCAACAAGCTCAGGGTGCTGGAGCCTGAGGTCAGCCAGAAAACCTCAGAGCTAAAAGAGGAGTGTAAAGACTTTGTGGATAGTAAGGACTTTAACATAACTCTTGAACTTTAATTTTCTTCCATTCGATGTCAACAGCTGAAAAAAATGTTGCTGTTTGTTGCAGAAATAAGTCAGTTCCAGAAGATCGTGGGAGGCCTCATCGAGCTGGTCGATGAGCTAGCCAAAGAGGCCGAGACGGAAAAGATGAAGGTAGGCTTGAAAATAAACACTTGTTTTTTTTTCCTCCGCCTTCTGGAGTAGGTGGTAATTTTGTGTTTTTTCTTGCTTTAGGCTATAGGAGCCAGAAACCTGCTGAAGTCTGTAGCAAAACAGAGGGAGGCTCAACAACAGCAGCTCCAGGCTCTCATTTCAGAGAAAAAGATGCAGCTTGAACGGTAAAGCGTCTAAATGCAAAATGCAGTGTATCACAACCACAACATTAACCTGCTAATGTTAGCATTGTGTCCTTTCACTCATACAAAGATGCTAATGTTTTGCTTGGTTTTGTATTTTTGAATTTGGTTTATAAAATACTTGTATATGACCATTAAATTGTAAACAAGGACTAATATGAACTTTGACCCACCTAAGTTTTCGTTCAATTTATGCAAAACATTTTCTTGAATACAGATTGTGAAGTCATGGCAGTGTCCATTGATCTCCATTGACAATTTTGGTTTTCTTCGGGGGAGGGGAGCACGTGTTTCTGATTGGTTATCTGTTGTTTGTTTTTTTTACCTTGTGACAGATATCGTATCGAGTACGAAGCCTTGTCCAAGGTGGAGTCCGAGCAGAACGAGTTCATCGACCAGTTTATTCTGCAGAAGTAAAGACTCGGCTGACACAGCAGTAGAAGTGTTTCCACAGTGCCTCCTACTGGTTTTCTGGATAACAACACCACATCAGAAAACTGTACTGCTGCTCTTCTCTGTCCGCGTCTGCTTCACACCATTCTTTTGATCGTATACATGGCCTTGTTCACACCACGCGGTTTTCATCCGACCACATAAACTTGTAACTCATTTGGATTTTACAATTAACGCCAGTTAGTTCATTTCTTTATATTTGGCTACATACTTTATAATCTGCACTTTGAATTCTGCAGTTTAGCTTTTCTCTTTTGGTTGCATTTCATTTGAATTCTTTATGGAATTCCAAATGTGTTAAAGAGAGGGCGTTTTTATACTTTATATGGCTTTAAGGAAGTCTTTTCGTATCCCAGGAGTTGTTCCCCTTTTCTGTGTTTTATTTTTTATTTTCTTTCAGTAAATTCACATCCAAAATCACTACGGTCTAATCTCCACACTGACCCCTCTGAAAACTGTGTCATGTGAACATGGCTTTACTTAAATAGAAGTAGTACTAGTAGTAGTAGTAGTAGTACTCCCTTACATAGTGAGTAGGTTTGACATTTGATTTTTATCGTCGTAAGCTTGAATATGTGTTTGCACCAAATATCTCAGACCAACATTTAATATGGGGGCATTTTATATATAAAGTTATATTATTTATAATATTTATACAGACAACCCTAGAATATTTAGTTTTATTACTTTTTATATGAATCTTGATACTGCATGTGCTTGTATTTATGTCCTGCTTTTTAATAAGGAAAAATTGAACATGTTCAATTTTTTTCAAATTCTTCTGGTACAATCCTAACCTCAACTACTCCAGCCTCCAGGTTTTACAACGCTCTTCTTTGTCATTTCTGCTGTGTGATGTTTTATTATTTCCCCATCACACGGCGAAGGGTAATACTTGAATACATTAAGTCGCACAAGAAAATGTACATGTTGTACTGCTTATTTCAAAGTTATGCAATTATATTGTGGTTCAATAAAATAATTGTGTAACGATTTTGACTTTGTTTTGCTTGTATTTCTACGCTTGAATCAACCCTTGAGTGGGTCTAGTGTTGTGACAATAAACATGATGTAAAATTTCAAACCAGTCTCATCATCATATCATTAACAACCTCAACTGATCACAAGATCAAATAGTTATTTTACTATTATTCCATTAAAAAAACAACATATATAGAGTACTTTAAATTTAATGTATTTACAAGAAAGTACAATTTTCAATATTTACATTTTTCTTTTATATTAGACTCCATAGAATAAGATGTCCATGAGCAGGGAAGTTAACTTCAACAGACATTCTCGGTTATGAGATTGGGTTGAGATTTACTCACTTCTTGGTGTACTGTAAGGGAAAAAAGAAGTCTAAAGAAGAGTCTACTTGTAATTTTATAACTAAGTTTTAAAGAAGGTTTAACAGAATTTTTATAGATTTAACAAGTGTACAACAAACCCAATACCGTTGGTCATGAGACAAATTCTCACCTTATTAAGAATCCACTCAGCATCTTCTACAGCTCGTTGGATTATCACTTGGATCCTCCCTGGGTCATCTTCATCACAGTGACTGTTGTAACCCTTAAAAAGGTGAATAGGAAGTAGTTAAACACAGAAATAGTTCATTCAGTGAAAATACAGTTACATGTATCTTATTTTAAATTTGCCAGCTTGAACCAGTTTTTATAAATATAACAAAGCAGATGACGCAGCTCACAACAACGTGAATTTGCATTTGATGTAGTTAATATTGCAGCTACCCAAAATATCAATTTCAACTTGTATTGATCATAAATATAACTTAACTTAATTTATCTGTTTTTCAAGCAATTCTGAAAATATCACATTTGCTGTTAAATCTCAATAATGACCAGGATTGTCCAAGATGTGACTCTGATTTATTTTAGTAATATAACACAAACTACTCACGTCACGGCCTTACCTGTCTTATTGCGTGTTTATAGTGTTGCTGCATGGCTGCGGTGGGCAGCTGCCTGCAGCACCTGAGGAGATGTCGGTAAAGCTGCACTGACGTAAGGATCACAACAGCTCCACCTGCAGGCGCCATATCTTCCTCCTCAGTAGTCGACTGTTAGTGAAACACACCTAGGCACAATAATGTAAGTAAAATTCAACAAACGCTATTTATTTAACATTTACATTTATTTAACTATAACACAGGCCTAAAACATATCATATAAGTTCTGTTTGTGTATATCCGTGTGACATTGGCCAAACCTGCTCTCATTTGTTTGGACCTGGCGACAAATAGTTTGGCGAAAAAAGTTGCTTGGAGAAAAGCTTAGAACGATTAATAAATAAAAAATAAAACCGGAGTTTTGTCCTGGGCTGTAATTCAAGGTCCACTGGTGCAAAGAGACTGAAATTGTCTTACAATGTAGGTGATGAACAGAGAATGATGATCGCCGCCATTTTCTTCCTTTTCCTCTGTACTGTAATGACGGCTTTAAAATAACTCGTATTTGCAACATCGCCACCGTGTGGGCTGGAGTGCAAATGCAATAAAATCAATTTCTTTGGTCCAGCCAGGTAAGCCAAATACTTATTTCGTTTATTTTAATAAAAAAACATTCATCCTATACATTTGTATAAATATGTTACTGTTTGGTTGACTGTCTTTTATTCTTTTTAAGCAGACTTGGTACTAACTACTGAAAACTTGAACCAGGTCCTAGTACATGATCCACCTGTCCATCACACACACATTATCCCTTTACTTTTAGCTCAAGAAAAAACAGGTCCATATATGTGGAGAGCAAAACATTTTATTACTAACACTGGAATAGTTCAATATGTATATTATTATACAGAAACTAACTGCTTTACAAAAACAAAATGATACAATATCACATGTATATACAGTGTAGTAAATATACCATCTCAAATTGTACACAAAGTATTTACAATTGTCACACGTACTGCATTAAAAACAAAAAGTGTAATACTCTTACTCTAAAGACATTAGGTTTTGCATTACATCAAATAAAACATGCCACACTTTGAGGTTTTTCATCTTTACAAACCTATGACTGTTTTTAAATTAGTGCAAGTCAACCACTTCTTTAAGAGGTTATGGACATGTATTTAATCCTCATCGATTCCATTCACACACACACACGGTAAAATTAAACCTGCACAAAAAAACAAAACAAAAAAATATGGCAACTGCTAATATGGTGCTCAAATAAAGCTTGCCTTCAAGATTGTTCCTGATTGTGTTGTGTTACACTAACTGATTGTGTTACTCGTACATTTTGGACACTTTTAAATTGAGAAAATCAGGGAGTGTAGCTTCGACAACAGTGAAAGTGCAGAGAGGAGGACGGACGACGATAGACGATGAGCCGATTCTTCCGGGGGATATTTAGCTCTACACCTTCAATAGTATTTAAACATCCTTCATTTGGAACACTCTGTTTAACCGTAACTGCTGCAAATAAACTGTGTAAAAAAAAAAAGTGGCAGTTTGTGACAGTTATTTCAAAGTCTATTGGTGAAGAGAATCTTGAATATGACATTCCGGAATTAAAAAAAACAAACCAAAAAAACAACACAACAACAGATTAACTTATTCATGAATAACAATAGGAATAGAACCAAGATATAGTAAACATAAAATTCCCGCCTAGTTTATACCACCTATGTTTCCACTAGCTCTCAGAAAACTGCACACGTATTCACTTTTATTGAGCTTTTAATGCAGTAAACCAGTGTTTTGTTTTTTTCGTTTGCTACACAGAGAAATCTTTCCTCTAAACTGAATCATGTTACAAGAAAAAAAAAGGATTAAAACTGGGATTGTAAGATGATTAACTAAAACATGAGCCTTCTAACAGCTAATATATGGAGTTGCTGCTATAAAAAAAGACAAATAAAATTAGTCAAAATTGTAAAATAAATTGTGTCAGGCCAAATAGAATCGAAGTGTTTTGGCTGTGGTGTGGACGGAGGTCTTCATCGTACGGCAGTCAGTTGTGGTGTTGGAGGGCTGTCTGTGGTGGTCGTCTCTGATCTACATTAATTATACACCCTATCACTGATTGTCATCATTTAAAATATTTTGTACGATCAGTCAAATCACAAGATCAAGTGACTGACTTTGAGGCTTTCTCATCATTCAAGTTTTTTTGAGAGGGGGTTGGGGGGGGTTGTGCACTCATTCACACCAATAAACTACTGTATTCATTTCTAGGAAATATCTGGGATATCTAGAGCTAACACATTTATCTATTCCTTACTATGTGAAACATTCGTCAGGAGCTTAAAATCACTGTCATTAAATAATGAGGAAAAAAACAAAAACAAAAAAAAAACAAAACAGAAATGCACCTGTGCCTTCGACAAAATGACAAAGTGTATTTGAAACAACCCCGAAGAAAACAACCAGAAGCTGAGAAGAAGAAAAAAAAAAAACAGGAGTATGTTCTGAACATATTGTTAGTCTGTACATTAGGGATCGGCCCATACTCACTACTGTTGACGTAGTGTATGGTTTTAATAATAAGTTTGTATGCTTTTAGCATCAGCACAGAGATCACGCTTTAGTCCCTGGTGTCAATTCGTGGGAATAGCAAACCAAAAAAATGCATGAATATTTTCTTAATCTAATTATCTGTTAATATTTTTAAAATTTTGTTGATGTAATTCAAGTTGGGAAAATTTGGGCCATGGCTAATGAGATGCAGACCAATCACAGAGGTTGTCTGTTTGGAGGAGGGCACTCCCATTGGCTGTTCCAGCGAAAGGTCACTACACCAGCATTTGCTATGACTAAGGATAACAGATAAAGAGAGTCGCTGGAGAGTTCGCCTCGCCTCGTGACCGAGGTCCAGAGCTTTGGCACCGATCGAGGAGCCCAGGAGAATCTACAGCCTTTAACGGTGAAAGACAATCCAACAACTCACAACGTTTCTAGTCACATCCTGTCAAATGGTTTGGGAACGTGATGGGTTTTTACCAACTTTTTCACCTGTCACTGACTGACAGGAAGTCAGAGCTGCTGATTTTTGGCGAGTAACAGAAATCGACTCGGCACCGGTGTGACTGAAGACACCGCCGACACCTACGTCGATGTGTTTTTTTCTTTTCTTTAAAGAGCCAACGGTGAAACTTCAGACAGGTGAGAGTGAGTGAACTGATGGATGTGGCATCGAACGTCGTTCCATTCACTGCCCTCTTTAGTCACATGGTCACCGGAGGTAAAAGGTAGTAAAAGCTGAATCTCTATGTTAAAAGGCAACTTGGAGTTGGCATTGTATTCCACAAAACTGACAGAGTGATGTGTCGCGGCCCACAGAGGAACAGATGTCTGACAAAGGAGTTAAGGATTATTGCCTATTACACAATTTCCTTTCCACTGTGTAAACAAATTAAAATGCTGCTGAAAAACACAGATTACACTAATTAGAAAAACAAAAAAAAGAGCTAAAATAAAAACGATTGCACAAAAAAGCTATTTACACCGTCGTGTTGTCTCTAGTGTTCTGTTTACCTTCATGATACTTTGAAAGTGTTTTTGTTTAAAAAAAAAAGAAAAAAGAAAAATAAATCATAATGTAGCGCTATCTAGCTGTACAGGATAAATACTTTCAGGCAACAGGGTATATGGATGATTGTATATTTGACGATCATTGGAGGCCAGTCATGACGCAGCTCACGTGAACTCGGGGGGAGAGGGGGGGGTGATATGGACGGCTCGCCTCCATAATTAGTACCTGTTCTTCGGTCCTCATCAAGGTTCCACTTTTAACTTTACAAATTGTACACACTGAAAAAACCCTGACAAAGGCACACCATGGAGAAAACATTAACATCCAAATTAGCACTAAGGACTGGTTATACATTATCTGTATATGTAAAATATGTACAAGAGTGGGAGAGCAGGGTGAGGGCCCCCGACCCACTGATCCACCACTGTCGCCGCCGCCATCGCTGCTGCTGCTGCTACTGTCATTTGGTCCATCTCACTGACCAGGAGTGTTTTAAGTCATGAGGAAGTCCAGAGGATGTGTGAGCAGTCCAAAAACTCAACTTTTATTTCCAGAAGAATTCCCAAAAGTCTCGTTTTGACGTATGATGAGTAGCTTCAATATTAAGAAGAAGAATAAAAACAAAAACAAACCTAACCTTCCAGAAACTTCTCCATCCATCCAATGGCTAACACGAACCATTCCCAAGAAGCACGCTATTCCAAGTTGGATCATTTCTCCCCGATTTCCCGAACACAGAAGAACATCTTCTCCAGCTAAAGCAACACAGCTTGAAGTGGAGGAAACCTTAACAAAGTTGAGTGCAGCATGAGGCCTGGTACCCTGGAGGTGGAGCAGATCAGTGGTGCATTGTGGGACATCGCCTGCCGAGTGATCACACAATTTTCTTAATGCTGGGTCTCTTGAAGCTGCCGGAACTGCGCTGCTTCTGGACCTGACTGGCTGAACCGTGGCGAGTGCGCCCCCCGCTGGACAGTGCAGAGCTTGGGGACAGCTGAACGTTCTCCTTGTCCACACCTGGTGGGTCACAGTGAGGACATCATGAGTTCATATAAATCAGGTCACAGAAAACTGGACCTCATCAACCAATCACGGGTTAGGATTAGGATTCCAAGTAAATGTGTGTGTGCGCGCGACCTGGCGTGTGCTGTGACGTGGCCAGCGATGTCATGGAGTTGGACAGGTTGAGGTTGGCAGTTATGCTCAGTTGGCTCTGACTGGTGGGTGGGTAAGGGGAGGTGGGCGTCCTCATCTGCTCCTCCCCTCGCTCCTCCTCAGCGGCTGGGAGGTAGCTGTCGATCAGCGCCTCCAGGAACTTAACGATCAGCTCGGCGTAGTCCGGTATCTGTGTTTGCTGAGGACGGAAGAGAAAAGTCAAGTCAAGGCGGACGACATCTGGGGGGTATTCACCAGCACGGCTCATAAATCAAAACATTAAACGCCGAACCTGGTGAACCTCTGCATTTTAAAAGGAAAAAAAAA